TTTGTGGAAAGTGTAACAAAGAGTACGGTTTTGGGGAAAACACTCAACCATTGAATGCGTGAACGAATTGGCGAAACATTTTTCCCCTTATTTTTGAGTTCACCTCTCAATACATACAATACATACAGAGATATGTACTGTAAATATACAGTCGATATGTGTGTGAGAGAGGGAGAGAGAGAGAGAGAGATGTATTAAAAATGCATTATATTGTATGTTATATAAATATAAAAACTGTATTATAAACACATCACTTTATACCATATACCTTTATTCAATATTTATTCAAACATAATATTATATCATATAAAAATATATTCTAAATAATAATAAACCGCATTTCAATTGTAAGCCAAAGGCATTCCCTAAATACCTACTGTTCCCACAAAACTTGACGACTGTCCACTTATATGTTGATATAACGGATATTAGTAAAATATAATAGTTTGTTTAAAAATATGTCTAAAGTGTCATATAATAAAACACTGTAAATGTATGACAGAAATACAATGTATATAATTTATTTTAAATGTTTTATACATAATATTCTGTATCATAATACTAGAATATATACAATTATTTTATGTGCTAGCTAAATAAAATAAAATAGCTAAAATAAATACTTAATTATAAAAAATATTGTGTAAATTATATTATTATGATTAATTTATTTTTATTGTTAGTTTTGCCTAGTTATTTAAAATTATAAAAAGTATAATCTAGGGCATTTAATTAAAATGCAATATACAATTTGTAAATTATTAAATTATTAAACTAACGTTGGAATGTATATATTTTTACCATGGCCATAATACAATTTGATCTGGATAAATTATCATTCACTATTACTTACATTAGCCAACACAAATAAAAAGTGACACTATTTTTATTTTGCACAAAACGTGTCGGTGCGAGAAAGGGAAGCCTAAAAATAAACCCTCACTTTCGCCGTTGTATTTGTCAACACAATTGAGTCTAACAGTGATTTACGACAGTTTTGCATCGGGTTTGATGTGAACACAAAATACAGTCAAATCCCGTTATAATAAACATTCAAAATTAAAGCCACGCTAAATAATTGTCGTAAATAATATGGTAAAACAAATTTATAATAAAAATTCTTGTAAATATATTTTTATAATATATATAATTATTTATTATGATAAAATTCTTACAGAATATTCTGTTTTGTATACACATGTAGTGTATATAATAAAAATGCATTTTTTGTGTCCACACACACAAACTTGTGTTAAACAAAAAAATACAAACTTTTTTGCTTTTGTCTAAAAGCTATTTATTATACTTTGCTCGTAATATAACTGTTATTATATTGTGAATTGTTTTATAACTTATTATATGAGAAATTTGTGTCGTTTTCATACTTTCCTTATACATGATTATCGCTAAGGTTTGTCATAAGTTATGCCACAAATCATTGCCTACTTTACTGTATATTTTTATATAATATATTATATCCCCTTCCCCTAAAACTCCCTGTCCTTATAACTCATTTGCTATTATATACGAAAAGAAAATGTATTTTTATTATTATTTCTAATAGCGTTTGTTTACAATAGTAATACATTTTTTGTATAATAATAGTCTCAAGAATTGAGATAAACATACAGAATATTCTTGAGGGTGTCGTACGCTATATATAAGTGATATTACATGATATTATAGCTAACGATTCACTACTTAATGATTTGACTTAAGTGTGAACACAAGTGACAGATAAATACGTAACAAATATATCAGGTTTTATGAGTAGTGTTGAGATAAAGTTACTTGATAACTTACATTGTATTAATATTGTTACAAATTTTTGTATCATACAAATTATCATTAGCATATAATTTTATTTTACACAATAATATTTTATAAAATATTTTATTTTACATTGTTTTTAATTAATTAATAAATATTACATTATGAACACCAATTTGTAAAAAATATACTAACATTTTAGGAATTTTTCAAATTATAATGTGAAAATAAATTAATATTTATTGATTATGTTCAAGAATTTTAAGTATTTTCTTGTATACTATTTGTGGAGATATATATTTATGGACTTTATTAATAAACAATTTTTTTCAAATAGTTTTATGTCATTATAAAGTGTGGAATTTTATTTGTGAACTCTCTTTCTCTCTCTCAATATAATAACAAATAATAGTTTGTTATTTAACGCAAATGTAAGCGTTTGTGTCGATACAGGTCTGATATGGTTGTAAAACTTTTGTGACAATTATTTTGTTGGCAAACAAACGGCTTTTCGCCCGAATGTATGATTTTGTGTTGAATTAGATTTGATTTTGTTTGAAAACTTTTGCCACAATTTTCTTCATTACATTTGAATTTCCTTTCATTCAAATGAACACTACTTTTGTGTTGATTTAAACTTCCTTTTCGTGTAAACTGTTTGCGACATTCACTCCAATCGCATACATATCTCACATTTAAATGAACGATATTTTTGTGGGTTATTAAATAGCCCAAATTTTTGAACGATTTATGACAATCACTGTAATTACATTTGAATGGCTTATAGTCTGTATGCATTTTATAATGATCAGTCATATTTGACATTTTCAAACATTTATGGTTACATTTAGGCCAAAAACATCGATAATATTTGCTGCCATTAAATGCATCCCGATTTTGGTTGATTATTAAATTTTTAGCGCTGACCATGCACATAATTGTAGGATTATTAGTGTCAGTAGTATAAACATTAGCCAATGAAATAATTTGCGACAGGTTAAAAACACATTCACTTTTATTACACAAACTTTTATTCAATTCATGACATTTTGATAATAAATTAAATTTTATATTCAGATTATTTAACATTAACTTTAATTGTGTCATTGTTTATCGCATAAATATTTTTCGCAAATTAATGAAAAAATGAAATTTTCTGTAAATACAATAGGTTTAGTCAATATATAGAAATAAAATGCTATTATTTGGTATTTTCCTTGGGACTTTGTTAAATGTTTTAAAATAATAATCTTATCAAATCTCAAAACAAAATATTTAATTAATCCAGGTGGTAAAAGGTTAATCACCAAAACAACACCTGCTTTTCTCAAATAAATATAAAAATCTATTATTTCTATAAATAACGTAATTTATTTTAAAAATTGTAGCCTCCAGCACACAAAATACCATTTTAAAAATTATGTTACTATTGTATCTGATAAATTATAATTTAAAAATTGACTGGGGAAACATATATATAAGTTATAAAGTTTGTTTATTATTGAAATGAAAACAAACATGTCGGAATTGTGATAAAATTGAAAACAATTGCAAACTATTAATAAATCAAATTTTTTGAGTATTTAAATAAAGTTTACGATATTATGAAATGAATAATAGCTTCATATTTAATGCAAATGTATGCGTTTGTGTCGATATAGATTGGATATGAATGCAAAACTTTTGTGACAATCATTGCGATGGCAAACAAATGGTTTTTCGCCCGAATGTATCACTTTGTGTCGAATTAGGTTTGATTTTGTTGCAAAACTTTTGCCACAATTGTCTTCATTACATTTGAATCTCTTTTCATGCAAATGAGCGACACTTTTGTGTTCAAGTAATGAGTGTTTTGTTGTCAACTGTTTGCGACATTCACTCCAATCGCATTCATATCTCGCATTCATATGAACAGTATATTTGTGATGAACTAAATGTGAACGAAATTTGAACAATTTGTGACAATCACTGTAATTACACTTATATGGCTTATAGTTTGTATGCATTTTATAATGGGCGTTCATAATTGTCATATTAACGCATTTATAGCTACATTTAGGCCAAAAACAGCGATAATATTTGTTGCGAATAAATGCCTCACGATTTGTGTTGATTATTAAACTTTTTAAACTAACCTTACATTTAATTAAAACATTATTATAATCAATATTATAATTATTAGTCAACGGAAAAGTTTGCGACAAATTAGACACACATTCACTTTTATTACACAAACTTTTATTCAATTCATGACATTTTGATAATAATTTTAATTTTGAATCCATATTATTAAACAGTAATGATATCATTGTTTAACAAAATATTTTCTACACATTAAAACAAAAATAGTAATAATTTAATAAATGATTTCACTAAATATATTTAAAAAACTGGTATTGTTTGGTACTTTACATAAAAATGTAAAATGCTTTAAATTCATAATCTTATTAAATCTCAAAGCAAAATACTGGCAGTTAATCCAGGTGATAAAAGGTCAATCACCAAAACAACACCTGCTTTTCTCAAATAAATATAGAAATATTAGATTTCTATAAATAACTTATTTTATTTACAAATTTGTTGCCTCCAGCACATAAATTTATACCATTTTTAAAATCATGTAAATATTGTATATAATAAATTATAATACAAAAATTGTCTGGACAAATACATATAAGTTATAACAAATTTGTTTATTAGTAAAACAAATACAAACATGATCGCAATTGTGATAAAATTGAAAACAGTTGCAAACAATGAATAAATCAATTTTTTTTGAGTATTTAAACAAAGTTTACGAAAACATTATGAAATGATTAATAGTTTGTTATTTAACGCAAATGTATGCGTTTGTGTCGATTTAGAGCTGATATGTCTGCAAAACTTTTGTGACAATCATTTTGTTGACAAACAAACGGCTTTTCGCACGAATGAGTGATTTTGTGTTGAATGAGTCCCACTTTTTGAGCGAAATATTTGCCACAATTTTCTTCATTACATTTGAATTTTCTTTCATTCAAATGAACAGCACTTTTGTGTCGATTTAAATGCTGTTTTGTTGTCAACTGTTTGCGACATTCACTCCAATCGCATACATATCTCACATTTAAATGTACGCTATTTTTGTGATCTACTAAATTTCCCAAACTTTTGAACGATTTATGACAATCACTGTAATTACATTTGTATGGCTTATAGTTTGTATGCATTTTATAATGAGCATTCATACGTTTAATTTCAACGCATTTATAGCTACATTTAGGCCAAAAACATCGATAATATTTGCCACCATTAAATGCTTCACGATTTGTGTGGATTTCGATATTTTTAACGTTGACCATGCACATAGTTGTAGCATTAGTATTAGTAATACAAAAATTAGCCAATGATATAATTTGAGATAGGTCTAAAACAGATTCACTTTTATTACACAAACATTTATTTAATTCATGACATTTTGACAATAAATTCAATCTTAAATTCATATTATTTAACATTAATGATATCATTATTTTACCAAATATTGTATAAATTAATACAAAAATAGTATTATTTTAATAAACTAAATGATTTCAGTGAATATAATAAAATAACTGCTATTGTTTGATATTTAACCTGGAGCTTAATCAAATGCTTAAAAATAATAATCTTATCAAATCTCAAAAACAAATACTGGTAGTTAGCCCAGGTGGTAAAAGGTCAATCACCAAAATAACATCCGTTTATTTAAATAAATATTTAAAAATCCAATTATTTTTATAAATAACGTAATTTTAATTACAAAACTTTTGCCTCCGGCACATAAGTTTATACCAATTACTGTACTTAACGTGTATTTTCTTATGTCCATCAAAAACAACTTTATGTATAAAACGTTTGTTACAATTACTATATTCACACGCATACGCGGGCCTACGGGCTACAGGTGCCAAGTGGTGGCGCTTATGTAATATAAGTGGTTGCGATTTATGTAAAAATATTTTACCACATTTACACCACCAATAGTTTGTTGAGTGTTTATAACACGTATGTCTTGTTAATAATCTCCTAGTTTGAAAACATTTATGACACCCAGGGTGATCGCACTGGTATTTCCACTTTAAATGGACGTACTGTTTGTGATGAACCAAACGTCCCAAATGTGTAAACCTTTTGCGACACTCACTGTAATCACACGTGAATTGTTTGCCACGATTCCTATGGTTTAGTAATTGATGTCTCGATAACTGGGAAAACGTTTTGCACTGAACCTCACAATTAGGCCAAAAACAGCGATAATACTTTTGACGGTCCCTATAGTCGATGTATGAATTAATTTTGATCACCCTGGTACTTATTTTGCATAATTTCACATTACTGTACTTTTGCACGTGTTTATAGCTAGGCAAATCTGTGGATATATTTTCACGTTTATTATACAAACTTTTGTTGAGTTTCATATGTTTTAACATTAACTCAAACTTTTGCGTTAATACGTGTGACATTAATTTGAATGATAGATACATTATACTAATGAAATATTGATACTGGTACACTTGAAATAAATGAATATATTTTCAATATTTTTAAACAATATTTTGAAATTTAATAGTTAAATAAAATGCTTTTCAAAGGCATTTACATTAAGCAAAATGTTTTGCATATTAAACTTGTCTTTCAATTTGTATTTACTTTACTTATCCGACAATCACTAAAACTTTCAGCTATTTTCACTGGAAATGTTAATAAATGCCTCATAAATAGCTTTAAATGGGTCAGGCTGTAAATCCTTTAAAGTATTTTTAAATATCAATTTTAGATACAAATGAAATCAATACTTAATTAATTATGGTGCCAATAATTTACTGTATAAACTGTATCATAACATAGTAGAAAATAAACAAGATATTTTCATTTACCAAGTATTTCACATGATTTGAACAATTTAAACTTATATATTTTATAAACAGTGTACATTTTAAAAAATAATAAAATATCATGCACAACTTATACATTTATAAATTAGCATACAAAATAATATAAATAAATAAAAATTATCACTAATAATAGTAATACTATTTATTCTGTAAAAATACCATGGATCACTTTTATTTAAATAATTCATAGACCAATTATTTTATGCATATTAATAAATATTTAATTAATATATCATTTAACTATTGACAGTATGTAATCAACTAAGCCGTGGTATATTCACCCTGGTGTCACCCATGACCGGACCCTCCTATGAAACCCTAGTCTCCTATTCCAACACATTTCAGGTCTGAAAAAATAAAATCAATTAAAAAACATATTATAATAAATCTCAATTTAACATGCTACCTTATTCAGATGCCTTTTATACACCCTGGGTTTTCGCAAACCTCCCACTTTCGCCCCGCTAATTATGGCGTATCATTACGGCCCCGGTATCTACCGGCTATCATAGACGTCATACTGTATTACGGATGGAAAGGCATTATCTACTTATACGACACCGACGACGGTATGTATGCCTTATAATTAATAATAAAACTTAA